TAGAAGCTGAGTTGTTATCTGTTTTTAATCTAGCTCATGTACCAATAGTTGATTGAACATAAGATTTCCTATTACATAAGTACTACGAGAGCTGGCAAGCAGAGGCAGGGCAGAGAGAAACTCCAGAAAGTGGGATACACAATTCTTTTCCTCTTAGTAGTTTGCTGTGGCTTTTTGATCCCCAAGAAAGGTGCTTTCCTTCTCCCTTGTGGCAGTTTTACTGCCTCGTGGTAGAAGTTTAAAACGTGTTTGCAAAGTGGGACTTTGCAACAATATCAAAATATTTTGATGTAAATTTTCTGATAAGCTATCAGAAAATGACCTAATGCTGGGATCTCAGGAAAGAAATAGCTTAGAACCTCTGCAAGAGAAGTTAGTCAAGGAACGGTAACTTGGTGGAAAAAAAAAGGAAAAAGGAAAGGAATAAAAAGCTCTGATTATTACAAGAAGCTATATTATTCAAAGAAATTTGGCACGTGTTTTCATGGTAGTAATCAGCCCTGTTAACACTGGCAGAGGAAAGGAAGTAACAAAATTTGTCTTGGTGCCATCTCTCCTAAGTATGCTGTCTCTTAATTACATATTGAATAGTAGCTGGTGTTTGAAGAATAACGGAATAGAAAGATAGAAAGGAGAAACATGGCAATGTTGATTCAAGCTGATATTTCTTCCTGCTGGAAGGCTCTCGCTGATCATTGAACCATCAGGGTTCCTCCTCAGCCTTTCCTGAAATGCCCAAGATGTTAATTTTGTAACAGCAAAGCCAGGCCAGATTTAGCTCTCAATTTTGATTTTGTAATACCAGGTTTTCATAACTCCAAGAACATGTGTAACTGAACTGTTTCCATTTCTTGTTTCTTTTATTCTTCCTTTGGTGACCGAGGGAAAAATGTTGAAAGCAGTATCCTGCAAGAGGTTCAACAAAAGCATTGCAGTGCTCCAGGTGCGAGACAAAGTGACAAGAAATGGTCTTGTCTGTTCTGTTGTCTGAGATTGACCAATCTATAATTTCAGTGGAAGGAAGAAGTCACGCCGTTTTTTTGAAGAGCCCTCGTAGTGCATAGCTTTTTGTTAGGTGCTGAATTGCCTTTAAACACCTCTGCCTCAGTAACATCAGAATAATAGCACTTCTCTGCCACACACAGATGCTGTAGGAGTAAACATACCAGTTTAGGAAACGTTCAAATGCGATTTTACTGCAGGCTGATTTAATAGCTTATCTAGGAGTTATATGTAAGTGAAATAGTCTTTTATAAACTATTATTTTCCAAAATTAGAAGGGCAGGAATCTTCTCAGACTGTAGCTAGGCAGGGGAAGGAATTCAACTCTAAAATAGACAACTGTATTTTCCCATTGCATTGAACAGCTCTTCAACGCAGATTGTCTGAAGTAGTTGCAATAATATCTTTCTACTTTTCAGGCAGTGGAGCTTAGAGATTCAGTTTTTTAACATCTACATCATCTCTTTTCTCCTGAGACTGAAGCTGGTTACCATAGCAAAATGGCGAGGAAGCCGATAAGCTAGTGGTACCATTTGGCAAACCGGGTACAAATTCATTTTATTAAGACAACGGACTATGAAAAAAGAATGAGGTTAGATATTTTCCTTTTCTGCTGTAACATGGTATAAAATACTTGTGAAGAAAATGTTTGTGAATGCATACTGAATAAAATGATCTTTATTCAGCCTACATAACAAGCATTGCTGCAGATAGTAGGAGCTTCAGTTTTACACCTCTGCATATCTTTGATGCTGTTAACATTACACTCTAATTTTCCACCCTGGGGTTCAGAGTGCTGCAAAGATGCCATACAGCTTCTATTTCACAGAATACGTACAGGTGTCTATTTCTTTAAACTTATGCTGCAGTGTAGTTTTTAGAAAAAACATGATCATCCGAGTCTGTCTTTTAAATTAGTTTGCAAAGGGTTTGTGTAGAATGATATCGGTGAGAGCTTAACAGTCAAGTTGCTTTGTTGGCCTACACACCTTATGAATAATGTTTGACAGTGTTTTTTGCTCTGCATTGGCAGAGTTGATCTTTGTGCATCATCATGTGCCTTGAGCTGTGCTTCTTGGCTTCTGAGGGCTACTTCAGGGCAGTGATGTTTTCACGGTTGTTCCCACTGGGGGCTGTTTGTTGACACTGATGTCTACCCATGGAAAGCTTGTTGTCAGGTCTGAGGGGTCTCCTGTTCTTGATGCAAGAGTTGAGTTACTGTTTTGGGAAGTTTGCTTGGGGTTGCACTAACTGTAAGTGAAATGAAGCCTTGTTTCTTGGGGTAAAAATAGAAAGCTGAGTATTTACAATCCTAGAATCCTTAGAACTGGAAGGAACCTTTAAAGGTCAGGTAGTCCAACTCCTCTGCAATGAATAGAGACAACGCAGCTAGATCAAGTTGCCCATGGCCTAAATGTCTCCAGGACAGGGCATCCACATCTCTGGGCAAACTGTTCCAGTGCCTCACCACCTCACTGTAAAAGACTTCTTCCTTTACCTAACCTAAATCTATGCTGTCATTCTATCACAGCAAACCCTGCTAAAGAGTCTGTCCCCTTCTTCCCTATAGCTTCCCTTTAGATATTGAAAGGCCACTATCAGGTCACCTTGGAGCCTTGTCTTTTCCAGGCTGATGATTTCCTGAAAATACTGATAATAACCATCTTGAACTTGTAGAAGTGCTGTTCACAGACTGCTAGTAATGCGGCCGTGAAGCAGGAATCTGAGTAACTTCCAGGAAAGTCCTTTTTCTTCTCCATTTTTAAGCTGTTTCTTTGTGAAAATGAACACCAGTGTTTTTTATACTTGGAGAGGGATTTTTCATCCTTAAGATCCTGCCGTTCTGCTCATTATCAGCAAAAAAACCCCTATCAAGTGCCCATCGGATGCAGTAGTGGGTTAGCTGGCAGCTGGCTGATGTCTGATCAACTTCAAGAAGGGACGCAGGACACTGGACCTGTCAGGATTACCATGCCAGCCTTAGAAAGAGCTGAATGAGAATGTAATAGCAAGGGTTTGTAAATGTGCAAATTTAGGGTCATGTTCACGTGTATGAACTGCGCCTTAGCCCTATCTCTGTCCTGTGTGAGGACACTTAAGATGAAGGGAGCAATCTGCAGGGGATGAGAAAGACTTTCCTCCTTGAAAACCAGTTATCTGCAGATAGATCTAACTGGTGTTGATGGTAACCACCCACGGGTATCTATGACCTGCAAGTCATCGTATTTTAGTATAGTACACAAGCGTGGGAACTTTCTGCAGGGACGCAGCCCAAAATGCAGCAGGATACAGGAGCTTTGTGTGTTGCCATCTACTGGCAACCATCCTCAGAGAGAAGTCCCTCAGCTGGTTGTAGTTCAACGTATTGCTTAATTTTGAGCTGAAAGACCAATTTTTCCTGCCTAAAACCAGTCTCGGGTCAGAGTTGTTAATAAAACCATTTCCGATGTCTTTATCGCTTGCATGTAGTCAAGATGTTTGAGTAATCTCAGCAGACTTCCTGTTGCTCTTTGGGATGTTGGTGGGTGATACACGAAGAGCTCCTCTCCTCCCTGGTCTGGGGACTTCTGAGCACCTACTGCTGGCTTGTGGCCTGAGTGATGCCCATGAGGGTGCTGCCTTTTGGAGCCTGATCCTGTGTTTTCAGTGAAGGGGCTGCTCTGGAAATTATTAGTAACAAAGGCAAAGGGTGTATTTAAACTATATTTGGTCTATAGGGAATAGAATAAAGGTCTCTGTTTTAATTTAAGAGTCCTGTAAGTTTGACAGTCTTTCCCCACAGAGAACAGAGGTGTTTTGAATAAGTGTCCTCATAGAGAGATGCAGTACAGTTTGTGCAGCTCTCCAGAAGTTTTATTTTGACCTCTGTCAGGGGAAAATATTTATATGATACTGTCAGAAGTAGTTTTGAACATTATACATGAACCAAATGCCAGCACATGTTTTATTTTTTCCTTTTTATTAAAAAATGGTTAGGAAATAAGAGTTGCGACACTAGTTTGCAGCGAAAGTTATGTGACTGCTTTATTACAAAACATAATCCATGTGGAAGCAGAGGAGTGATGTTGCTTTTCCTTTATACATGTCCAGTCCAAATATATGTCAGACTTAATAACCTTTTCTGTAGCCATGTTCATAGAAATGTAGAAAATGTAATTTTTTTTTTAACCTACTAACATAAATTTTTGAGATGAACTACATAAAAAAAGGATTGCTCTTAAACTCTGTGAATACCAGCATTTTCCCTTCACTATTTTAAGCACTGTTTCAAAATAGCAGTTATATATATCTTTGGCATGTTTTCAAGCCAGATATGTAAGTACGCAAATGTGGAAATATTTGTGTTCCTCTGTCTGCGTGAAGCTTAGCTGACTCTTAGCTGACAAAGTAATGGTGCATTTTTAGGTGCATTTTTGTCACAGTAGTTCCAAGGTTTGGATGACCAAAGGTAGGACTATAGCATTGCTAGTATTTTTTATTTTATTGTATTTTACCAGGGAAGTAATACACAATGCTAAGAACATATATTTGAGGCCATATATAGAAGGTTTATATTTGAAAACTAGAGAAGTGAAATAAATTGGAGCTTAAGGTTTACCGGTGGCTTGGATCAAAGAGGTGTGGAATGGGCTCTGGCTGCTGCTTTGTTACTGATGGCAGGTTTCCAAAGTGTAATCAAGTATTTTCTCTTTGTTTTTTTTTCCCCTTTTGTTGCAGCTGGTCTCCAATGTTCTCATCTTCTCCTGTACAAACATTGTAGGCGTGTGTACCCACTACCCAGCAGAGGTGTCCCAAAGACAGGCTTTCCAGGAGACCAGGGAATGCATACAAGCCAGGCTGCATTCTCAAAGGGAAAACCAGCAGCAGGTAAGAACAACAGTGGGAAATAAAAAATGGAACTGCAGAAATGCAATTAGCATGCAAATTGTTCCTCTAGGATTGCGTTTGTAGGCCTCTCGCTTTATGACTGATACAAGCAAGAGGAGGCTGATAGGAAAGGGCAGGATTTTTAAAGGCTTGAAAGAGAACTCAGGGAGTATTCTGCAATACACTGAAGAATTTGTCTGCAGACGTCTACAAAAATCCTGTGGTCTGTGCTCTGTGGATGAAAATCACATAGTATGCAGATAGTCTGCACAGCTTTTTTGTACCCATTGAAGCCACCGTGTGTTGGATTTAGATGCAGCTCACAGGCTTCAGATGGACTCTGTTTGTGAGGCTGAAGTGTGGTGTGCTTGTCAGCAAAATCACAGCCAACAGGAAAGGTGGGTTGTAGAGAAAAATGTGGAAATTGCCCCATTGAACATATTGTTCCTTGATTCCTCCAAAGAGGGTCTGCTTCCTGCCTTATTCAAAATTTACTTTCTGTTTTTATACCTCTGCACACCACATAGGCCTCAAGCTGCATTTAACTGAGAAGTGAGATTCATCACCAACTCCAATGTTCATTTGCTGTAAAAAGGTCCATGGCTGCCAGCAAACAGCCTTGTCAGGGGTGCTGACCACGTCTGCTCCTTTTGGACCAGCGTGGATGTTCCTTTGCTAATACACCTCTACCCTGAAGTACATTTGTACTTCTCATAGTAGTCTGTCCAGTCCATCTTGAGATGAATCATGAAATGGGGCTTCCATCCCTTGGGAGACATCTTGGAGCTTGGTTGTGGGCTTGGGAAAGAGATCAAGAGAATGAATCAAATGAATCAAGCATCTTTGCATTTCTTTGGCAACCTGGCCTAATTTTCCCTCATGTCTCAGCCCATCTGCATCTTTGGGTCTGTTTTTGGCAGTGTTTTATGAGTTTCCTCTGGCTAGACATAGTAGCTGTTTAACCTTACTGTTGAATAGCATGTACATGTGCTTTATTTTGAGAATATATGTATGAAAACCACATTCACGATCAAAGCTTCATTTTCCTTTGTAACTAATGTAATTTCAGAAAGATGAAACAAGTGGACTCCTTTGGCACCTTGAGATGGAGAAAAGGATTAGCTCCAGGGAATACCCATTTTATTTATTGATTACAGCTCTCTCCTCCCTGCTGAGAATGCATGTGCCATTCTGGGGCTAGAAGCTTCTGTGTCAGAAGTAATTCACGAAAGAAAAGCCCTGAGAAATGCTCTAGCTTTAGGCCTTTTTTCTTCCCTGCCCCCAGAAGGTGCCATACCATGCAGAAGAAAGCCAGAACATCAAAAAAACACAGGTCAAAGCCAGTCACTTGGACGTGCCCTCCGGAACTTCCAGCAGGAACTGTGGATCCTGGCAGCTGGGGACTTCTAATAACATTACTTGCTGCCAGAGTCTGCCCTGACATTGATTTCCAGGTTTAGTTCAGATGCTTTTCCATGCATAATACATTGAGGTAATCTTAAGGTGACAGCAGATGCAAATAAACGTCAGTTCAGCCTGCATCTGCGAGAGCTGGGCTCCAAACAGGTGCAGACGGAAAGGGAATGGCACTGCCCGGTGCTGTTACACTCATTTGCCTGTTTCAGAAGACCTAATGATGCTCCTGTGTGTTGTTCTCTATTAAAAGCAGGCATATTATCTCCATGAAAGGGCTCTATGTTTTTCCTCATTAAGTTTCTGCCAGCACCCAAAATTAGAAATAAAATTCCAGAGTGTCCCATCCAAGATAGACACTCCTCATGCTTTCATTATCTGAGATAGCCTAGGGCAGAGCTGTAACTCTGTTCCTTGCCCAGAATAAAATAATCTTGGATTAAAAAAAAAAAAAATTCCCTTAATAATCTGCAAATACTTCAGATTTTAGTAAAAAAGTGGTTGTCAGAAGTGCACAGTTCTAGCATTGCTTGGCTTTCACGTGTTTTCACATTCTTTTCATCTCTGTATCACTTAACGTGTGATGAAAAATCAGTGTTGCTAAACCTGAGGACAAATGGTCAGACATAAAACACTAAATATTTGTTGATGCCTTGAGGTCATTTTGGGGGAGTGCAGAATACATAGTTAAAATTCCTATGTAGTGTAGAGTCATTGTGCAGATGTGTGTGTTCTATATATGCACCCACATATGCATATATCCATGTGTGCTTACGTAAATAGAGTAGATCTGTATTGTACTTTTTCATCTGTGCCTATTCTAGAGACTGGTTCTCCTCAGTATGCATTTGTTTAATGTATAATTCAGTAGAACTATGCTGGAATCATACACTGAAATGAGAATTATATATGAATTTGCTCTTGCTTTTGTTATCAGGTCAGACTGATGCCCTGTTATGCAGCAGTCCCGGCCATCTCACTTGTGCCTAAGTGATTTTTCAGTGAGGGCTGCACTACGTTTCATTCGTAATACCAACATGCAAATTGTACTCTAGTGGAGACCTTAATTTCATCTCTCCATTTGAAGTAAAGGGATTTTTTCTTGTTTTCAAGGTCTTTATGATGGCCTGTGCTTTACTAAAGCACTTGTGACAGCCTCCTCTTGGTAGTTTCAAAGGTTAATTTCAATGATTCTGACGTTCCCAGCATAGGGAATGAAGGTAATGTCCAGCTCTGTCATGCAGCTCAGTCTCCTAATTAGTTCCTATGTGGAAGATAGCTCCTGTTGCATGCAGTCATTTCATTTGTTAAGTTTTATTCCCACTTAGTGATAGTTCAGAGAGGTGTTAGTTTCCTAGAGATCCTGAATGTGTTGAAAACATTGGTGGTTCTATCTGGCAAGTGCCTGTGGTGTCAGGAAGAGCAGGGCCGGGGGTTCTCCTGCAAAAGTTAGCCAGAAATGTGTGAAAAAACCCTTGGAGCATTAGTTGAGAAATTCACTCCCCCGAACGTGTCCTTGTTTTGCAAGCAATTAAAAAAAAAATCATTCCACTCTGCTGCACCCACAGGGAATGTTCCAACCTGGGGTGCCCCTGCACTCTCCAGTGAGCTCCGAGTTATTTAGAGGATGCACATGTAGAATAGCAGCTTTCACACATTTGAGGGATGCCAATTATCATATGCAAATGACAGCAGCATGTAGCACTAGTTACTCTGGTAAACACTCAAAATGTGTTGTGCTTTTGCGCTCGAGGAGTACGCTAATAGCTGGCAGAAGCCTGAGGACACGTGCATGATTCATCATCTTTTATATATACATATATATATAAATATATATATAAAATTTGATGTGTGAATGCTAGCACATGCAGTATGCTGCTGAGAGTGCTTTACAAAACAAGTATCTTGTTAGGACTGCTGCAGTTTGGAGCTGGGAAGGCAGACATCCCTCTAACATATCTTCTCCTGTGTTATTACTACTTCCTCGGGCTGGAGGTGAGAATCAGTCTCTTTAAAGTACATGTTGAAAGGGGAAAATGTAAGTACTGGACAGTGCTGAAGCCTATAATACATCTCAGTGCATGCTGAACACATACTCAGCACATTCACCTCCTTTTGGTTCCCTCAAAGTTTATCTCCCGCCCTAGAGGAAGAAATTAATGAGGAACTTTCAGGAAAAGAAAAAAAAAAAAGTAGAAATTAGAAACCAGAAACTAGGATGTGTTTATAACTGAAGTGCAGGCAAGAAGTTTGGTGACGTGAATAATTAGTTCAGGAATGCTGACCCCTCTGAGTCAGGACTGGTGCTTGAGCCCTACTGTTCCCTGTGTTGTTGAGAATTAATGAGCTGTTAGATAGGTCAGGCACCTTCGTTTATTCTACATGGTCTCTGTCATCGGGAAGGAAGGCCATTTTTCTTCCCTGTGCTCACTGCAGGGAAATAAAATAGTAAAGGAGAATGAGGTGCGGGATTTTGGGATTTTTCAGCTGTTCCAGAGTACTGCCTGCCAGTTGGGCTGTGCTGGATCTGGGAGAGATGCCCAGCACCTTCTCCAACCGTGGCCAAAACCCTCCTGTTCAGGAGCAGGGTGTGAGTGGGAATCAAATTGAATACAGAGAGTGAATGGTATGGGCAGAATTAATCAGGTGAGATCCCTGAAATACACAAATACATCCCTAGGGTGCTTATTACCTGCAGGTGTAAATTCTACAGCTTTTACATAAAATTGCCACCAAATTTAGAATAATAGCAAGTGCTGGCTTTTGTGTGAGCTTTTAGGAAAGTTACCAGAAAGTCATTGTTTTGTCATGCAACTAATTTTTGCCTAGCATACAAAACTGTATCTGGAACAGCTCATAAAATGATATTATGAAAGTCACACTAAAGCTATTATCAGTAAATAAAAGTGCAATTTAGTTGTTCTGAGTGAGGGTGGAGAGCAGTGAAATGCTGATGACAGGTGGTGGTTATTGGAAGCACTCTTGTGGGGGATGAGTGGTTGTATGGGTCTTAATTCAACTGGGCACTAATAGTGGTTTTAAGTGTAGAGGTGTAGCATTGTATTGCATAGTTGGCCTAACTTCTCATGCTCATTTTATTGGAGCATTCCTATTAACTTGTTACTTGCTAAGAATAGGTTTGTACCTGCATGATGGGGAATGTGCTCAGATGATTAGGTAGGGGAAGAAGAGATTTTAAATGGTGCCTGAAGGTGTTGGGGTGTGAGTTCTCGGGTGGTATGGGAAAGGGGACTTCATGATGGCGTGGAGAGACTGTGTGGAAGGTCAGATGGTGTCATGTAGCAGGGTCCTTCTAGGAATGTGCAAGTGCAATTTTTGAATTGTGTGGATCTTTCATTTGCAAGAACTGGCAACTGTTAATCACAATGCCCAATGCAAGAGTGTTGCATTCTTGTTTTGGGGTCAGGATAGAATTGCAGATACCTTAACAGGGGATCAGCTGCTGGGTTTATGGGTATGGTTCTGCTTGGTTGTACTCATCACCCCCAGTGTGGTGACTTCATTCCACCCCAGTGCGGAGCAAAGTGTGTTTGTTAACTGGGCAGCAGGTGCTTTAATTGCTTCATCTGTCTGACTCCACAGGAGCGTCTCCTGCTCTCTGTACTTCCTCGACATGTTGCCATGGAGATGAAAGCTGACATTAATGCCAAGCAAGAAGATATGATGTTTCATAAGATCTACATCCAGAAGCATGACAATGTCAGGTAAGAAGAGCAGGCTGTCTCTCAGCTGCTGGGGAGGATGGACTCTCCCAAAGCTTGGCACCTATGGCCCAGGGATGAAGATGACAGCAGCACATGATCCAAAATAAGTGTAAAAGCTGTTTGGAGTGTCATCAGTTGACTTTGTAAATTTATTTACAGGACAGGAGAGGGATTGCCACGTGTCCTCAACATCCTCCTTTGAGAAACAGCTTTAACTATATTTTTTTTTTTTTTTTTTTTTTTTTTTTTCCTGGACTGTGTTTCAATGGCTTTGAGAAAGTGGATTATTTGAATTTGCTTATTTTTTCAGCAGTAACAAACTTACCCTTCTGATAAGTCATGAAGGGATGCAAGTTCAAGATGGGTACCATCTTCTGTGAGATGAATTGCAAAGCCCAGCTGGGGTTCAGGTCCCTTGGAGCAGTCCTTGCCAGCCTGTAATTTCAAGCAGGATGTCCATTTGTGACAGCCCTTGGCACCTGCTCAGCCACCAGTCAGCCACACAGTGCTGTGTCTTGGCTTATGTGGATGAGCAGAAGAGCTTCTGCATGTCACCAGGTTCCCTCTGTCCACTCCCCAAGGAAAAGGGATTGAAATTTTAATGTAGTTGCTGGATATCTTTATGGGCTGCAGTTTAACCTAATCTTAACACGTTTTACCTCTGCTATTGTAGTCACTTTGGGAATGACTTCTGTGTCTGTCAGGCCAGATCCTGACACTTTGTAACAGCTCTGTAAGCACTTCTTCTGAGACATGGGGCTGGGAACAGGCAGCTTTCCTCCTTGCTCTGTCCATCACCACTTTAAACAAGTGACTTCCTTGTAAACTGCTTTTGTAGCCTACTCTCTTATATAGCTTAAGTATGTTGATTAATTATATTTTCTGATACTTAGTAGAAATGGATTTCTTGCATCTTTTATTTACTGTGCCTGCATAAACCCCATTAGATGATGCAGTGAAATCAAATTAAAATTCTGAAGATTCTGAAGGCTACAACAAGTTGACATTTCCTTAACATTGGGGGTGGAGACAAATGGAAAATTGAGAGGGGGTTGCTTGCTGTGGAATCTCATATGAAACTCACTGAAATTGGGGCAAGTCTGCACTGGCTTGGGTCAACTTCAGTTTGGCCTTTTGTCATTTTGGTTGTGGCTGGGCAAAGTTGTAAAGGTCCACTAGCAGTACTGAAGGCAAAAATGTCATCAGCTGTTAAATACTTGTAATGGTTTTCTACTGAGCATTTAAGAACGTAATTATGATAATAAAGGTGAGGGGAATAGTTTTCCCAGAGTGATCACAGAGGAGTAGGTGTTGCAGTAGAAGATGTTTTCTGTCTTTATACCCTTTTTTTCCATTATTACCCTGAGCTTGTTCCAGTAGGTATGTAAATTTCTTGTGATAGATGGCATTTGTGAATTTTTGTAATAGAGAAATTACTTCTTTCCAGTACTCAAAGGTTAGCTTGACATTCAAATTGAATGCAAGTCATTGGATGTGACATGAGACTAATCAGTATGGTATTCTATTCGTTCACACTTGTTTCTGTATATCATTATTTGCAGATCTAAAAGTCATTCAGCACAGTTAAATCCTAGTAAAGGTTATTGTCTGTTTAGGGTGATGCTTCTTTGAAATTTTGTTTCAATTATGTCACTAAATAAGCAAAAACAAATTAATAATAAATTAGCACATGCAAATCAAGCTCAGTATTCAACACACGCATTTTTTTTCCTACTTTCTCTCTTTTACTTTGCCAGGTCACAGCTTCATGTAGTTTTTACCCACATGTACTAAGAGCAAAGAGGAGGTAACTCAGGAACATCTCATCTTCGTACACTGTTGGGAAATGAATAACTAAGTATGAATAGAGAAAAAGGAAACACGAGTTGGTACAAATGACTCATTTCACACTAGGAGTTCAGTATGGAGCCTTTGCTCTTGCCTGGGTGCTCTGAAACCACCCCTGGTGGAAATTACTGTGAATGGTTTTGAAGCATTTACGTGCACCTGGAAACACAGTGGTGGCAGGGGGTAGTGCCTCGACAATGTGGATTAATGAATTGGATGAAGAAAAGCAAGTGCACACATTACTTATGGGGAAATGCTCCAGGGGAGGCTTTTGACATTAGAACGCTGCAAGCAATTTTGTTTTGTTTTTGTCACTGTTCAAAAATGTCATAAGATCCGAGTTTTTATGAGCTAGAGGTTATTGTGTCAAGGCAATTGAGAGGCATGTGAAGGGTGCTGTGCCCAGCCATTGAATCTGGCTTCCTGTTGCTGATTTACGAGCAGAAACATTTCCTCCACAGTTTGCAGAGGTGGGAAGGTCTGTGTGTATGTGTGCAGAGACACGTGTTTCCCTCCACCAGTGACCATAGGCAGTGATTCTCTTTTCCCACTCTCCCAGATTAGTTGAAAAAGCAGACTGTCAATGAAAGGTGAGGCACTGGCATGAGCTGCCCAGGGAACTTGTGGCTGCGCCTTCCCTGGAGGTATCCAGGGCCAGGTTGTACGGGGCCCTGCGCAGCCTGAGCTGGGCCTGATTTAATGGTTGGCAACCTTGCTTGGGGTAGAGGGTTGACACTAGATTGCCTTTGAGGTTCCTTCCAACCCAAGCAGCACTGTGATTCTGTGGAAGTAAAACGAATGGGGACTTTTGCTTACTGTTAAGATTGCTGTTGTAATGCCTTGACCATTCTACAGGCTGTTCAAGCTGATCACAGATTTCCCCATCAGCATGGAGGCCGCAGCTCCAGAGGCCCAAAAGCAGAGCCCTGCTCCTGCTTTGGGATTTTGAGTGGGAGAAGGGGTTTGCAACATTCTGTGTCAGAGAAGATTAAATATTCTAATTTTCAGGAATGATTGGGCCTGGGCATTTGGAACCACCTCTAATTTCAATTAAAAAACAAACCCAAATCACTCTACCAGCAGAAAATTTTATGCTAAAATTATGTGAAATTGCTGTGCGTTTTTGCTTAATTTCTATTTTAAAATGTGGAGTCTTTAAATGTCCATTTCTGCTGTGATATTTTCAGTCTGTGATATTGTGAAACGTACATTTTTCTTTCCCTTGGAAAAGAAAAGACAGTACACACAAAAAACACAGCCAAACATCAAACAACGTGCAAAGATCTTTCCCAGCTGCCAGGAGTAGGTCTGTAAAACACAGTCATGATCCTTTACTAATGGCATTTCTGCCACAATATTGCTTACTGTGTTACATTTATCTCAGGGGTTAGTTTATCTCTGTGAGGGAAAAGGTGATGTTTTTATGTCTCTCTGACCTGAATGGATAAAAGCAAACCTTTTTAGAACCTTATCAGGACTTCCTGTGAATGAGTTCATAATCTCCTGCTTATTGTTATGGAAAGTAAAATTCAGAGACTAATTTATCCACAATGAAAATATAATTTCCTGTCATTTTTTTTGGCAGCAAAATTTGTTTCAAGATTATGTTCTTCTGAAGAAATTAGGGTGATGATGGAACTAAGATGAAGGTTTGGGGTTAATATTCTCTCTTGAGATGCAAATGAGCAAAAACTTTGAACAGGGAATGAAACCATTCCCCATCCTGATGCATTGAATGAGAATTAACTCTGACAAACAGAGAACAGTGGAGCGTGACGTGACCTTTCACACGTATGTGTGTTAAATATAAAGTCTATTGTCAAATGAAATCAGGAAAGGAGTTCCCGAGACCATGCAAGTAATTCCAGGCAAACAACAAGGTGAATTATGTAAGTAAAGCAGTTTCTTTATCGTGAATGAGATTATGTCTGATAGACAAACCCTAAAATACTCATAGATAATACTGTTTACTGAAATGCTTCCTAGGCAGAATTTAAAATGTTTTATATTGACTATTTATAGTACTTCTCTGCAGAGATAGTGGCTTTAATGTTATCTAGGTTTGGCCAAATATAGTAATCTCTATGTTGTAAAAGGGGACTTAAAGTCCTCTGTGAAGGGATAAAGGTTGGCTTTGTCACTGGAATTCCTTTGATGAACTGTTTTAAGAAGTTTATTTTAGGACCAACATCCAAGCATGGTGAAAGTGACAGTTTCCTCTTTTAGATCCTTTGCATAATTCTTATGAATCATGTACTCAATAACATTAACCTGATCTCATAGTTTTCCAAGCATTTTGAGAACTTGAACTAAACTATTCACAGAAATGAAACAGTCTATTTGCTTTTGGTTTTGTAAATGAAAGCCATTTTTAACTAGTTGTTCCCACTGACAGTAGTTTTCTGGTCTAGTAACATTCTAACAATGAAAATGTCTCCTTAAAAATGACTAAACAGTTGCACTTTGGCTGAGCGTCAGAGCTTTCAATCCGTCCATGTCAACTTAAACTCTTCACCTTATGGATGTTGTGGTGCTTAATTAGTTGCTTACAAAGGGCATCAAACTCTTGGTTGTTATCTAATTATGTGTTATGTTTTCAAAAATTTCAACTAAAAAAAAACAATTTTCTCCTTCTTTACATTGTTCCTTTACACAGGATGTCCAGCCTTAGTATTTCTTGGGGTTAAAAGAGTTATCAGTATAAATAGCAGAGCAAGGCTGAGCTCTGTGCAGCTCATAGGAGAGCTCCCAGAACATGGCTATAATGGGATGTACCAGTTGAAAGCAGTGCACTGCTCAATGGTGTGTTCTGGTTGGTGAGTACAGGCATGGGGCTTCTTCCAACTTGCTAACAGCAAAATGTCTTCTGAAATGTTAAATGTGTTTATAATGAGACATATTCTCTCCAGTCTTGGTCAGACAATAAATTGTCTTTTGGGGACAGTTTTGCTAATTGGCTGGTTTTCTTCAGAAGCTCATCTGGTTTCTGTTTTTGTGCTTTTTATCGTGAGAGGATATTAAAGCTAAGCAGAAACCAGTTTGATTTTACCTCCTTCAATAAATAAAACTATATTAAAGGAATGTAGAAATTTGTGGATGTACTTCTCTGGATCTTTTCAAAAAATTTTCCAAATAATTTCTTGTATTGTTCA